AAGAGCGTCTAAAATATTACAGGTGTTTTAAATATTCCTTATATTACAAATCAACCAAAATAATTTAACAAATTTAAAAAAAAAAAAGACATTACGTTCTATAAAATTTAAGTATTTATATTTACAATTTCTTTTTATCACTTTTCTTACTAAATTAAAATTCTTTTTACAGATTCAGTCCTCGTCAAAAAGACCAGAATATATTTTGACGTGATTAAAAGTTAGAGAAATAAGATATATATGTATCTTTTCGTCTATTCGACGCGAACACAGTACGAAGAGACGTGCAACTCCATCTTACTTGTCTTATGAATACTTTGAGAATGATTGCCGCAGCAGACTGATGAAAAGGTAAATGCCTAGAGGCGCGTTGACGTTTCTCCTTGATCTTTCCTACCTAACAACCGTCACAGTCAATCCAAGTTTCATTACGTTTTCATTACAGTCGAATACGTTTTGTTCGAGAAGCGGCTCTAGTATGAAAATCATATTGGATGAACATCTAACGAAGAGACCAACGACGTGCAACTACGCACCGAGATGACCCAGTTTCATGGTATATTGCACTTACAGGAAAATCGAGTTCCTTTCTTCGCGAACACGCCTACGAATGTCCCTTCGTCATCCCGCGAAATTGCAATGCAGTAAGGGGACTTGTAGCAGAGGCGGAAATAGGCAACACGCAACGTGGATGTTGACGATATTTATCGAACTTCTTAACCCAGCATCGCGTAAATAATTTCAAACATGGTTATTTCGAACGTTAAATATATATCAGAAAGCATAAGCTCTTTTAATTCTTAAGAACATAATGCCAATTTTTTGTTAGATTATTGTAAATGAAGATTGAAATAAGAAAACTTCACTAACCTAACCTAATAATCTAATACAATGAAACAACAGTAAAAAGAACACGAATTACGTAATTAAATGATAAATTAAAATGTCGATTACGATCTTACACTTATTAAGTGAATGTCAGAATTGATTAATTTATTCGCTTTAGTAACAAATTATTTTCCCTAGATATTTGAAACACGGTATATAAGTGTCGTTTATAACCTAACCCTAAAAGATAGAAATAAAGTGGAAGTAGGTTACTTTAATGAAAAGACGTGATTATTTAAAGAATTGGTAATAAATAATCATCTTCAATTTTCGAAATGAAATGTTTGGTAAGTATAATTGATATTAATTGAAGTGTGATGGATAATTCGATAATCTAAATACGAATATTTTAATTATTTCGGTAGGCTATAATGGTGAAATTATATTTGAAAGTATAGAAGATTGATTGCTGTGGATGAATAATGAAAAGAGATAATTAAGTACTGTGAAATACAAAATTTCCACTTAAATCGACTGAATGCAGCAGTAAACGTGAAACAATTGACATTTGTCAGGAAAAGAGCCATAGTTTTTCTTTGAATTACTTATTGATAAAGAACTAACAGGGTAATCGATCATTGTCCGACTACGATTTACACTGGCTTTTATAAAACTTCATTATCGACAAGGAAGTAAATACATTATGTATTTCTATAACATTGCTTGGCAAAATTTATTGCCGGAAAGTATAAAAAGGCATCCCAAAAAGAGACTGTAAAGTTACTCGATAGATGGTGAAAGATCACCGGAGTAAGCAGCGCCAATACATTATTCAATAGAGTGGTAATTTTATACAGAGCCATTGTCTTTACATTTTTCTCACATTTCTCAACCAACTTCTCGAACAACCCAATATCTACAAAGAATATTTATTATTATGAGAAGATTAAGATTCTCACTGCAAAATGATGGTAAACCAGTTGCAAAATTAATATTACATAAATTTTGTGTAAATATAAAATACAATAAATAAATAACATACAGAGAAATATAATTCCAACTTGTTATATAACATTTTCTTTTCAAGCAATATTACTAATAATAAATGAAGTTAGACTGAGTTATTTTACTTTTGCAATTACTAAAAACGTGTAATGTTTTATTAAAATTAATATTAATTTTGAATCTGATAGAAACGTGATTATATATACCTGTTTATCCTCGTGATATCATTCCAATTATTATCGTTTGGTTTTTTAGTTAATTACACCTATCAAGATGGCGCTTCTAGTGTTCAATATAAGGCCAATCGTTCAAATTACTGTAAAATGAGTTTCATGAAAGGAACGTCGAGTGGAAGTATCCAAGATATTCGAATTAACGACAGGATGAATAAATAATTTCAGATCTACGTGTTAGATCTTGTGATATATATATATCAACAGATATACTTACAATTGAGCTGTACTTTGGGGAAAGTAGGAGGCACTTCGGTGCAACTGCGGATATTCGCAGGAATCGCTGAGAGTTTCTCGAGTCCTTTCGAAGTTTATCAGTGCAAGATCTTGATCACCATCCATTCCAAAAAGCTCTAAACGTGAATCAAGACCGGTGTGAACGTCCTGGACTACACCGTGAAGGATATTCGGGCTTTTCGAGTGTTTGCGCTTTTTTTTTGGACGTCGTGGACTTTCCGAAGCTCTTCGCCTTGTTTTACCTGTAACGATACAAATGTGCCATTTATTTAATCATTTTTTGTATACTCATAACCTTAAAAATCTATATTTACAGTAATATTTAAGATGAAGTATATAAGCACTATTTGTATTTTTCACTACCTGAAGAAAAATTTAACTACCCCCATTTAAGTATTAATTTAAACAATAATATAGTATCAGAAGTATTAACTATTAAGTATATATATACATACACCCACATTTTACAAAAATTGTATAGTCTTCTAAGAAAAAAAATGATTTCATTTATAGTATTTCTATGTTTATATATATAAATAATTGAAACTTAAAGATTGAAACAATTTTTTTTCAGAAATTTAAAACAATTTGCTTCATGATATTGTAAATACCCATATAAAATATATCAACGGTAATAAATATTTTTCACAAACATTTATTCATTGCATAAATAGTAGTAAATATACGAGTAACACAACTGCTGCTAAGACAAACGTTACAAACGATTTACAAAATTAAAATACTGCGTTTAAATACTGTGATATAATACACTGTAGCATTGTAATACTGTGCAACATTAACATGAAAAGTTCCAGTAACTTTTATGAAAGAACATTTTCATTACGGCGTAACGTGTTTATCGATTTACATCGTAATCTTATGCGAACCATTCTTTGACGTAAGCTAACCTTACGTCAAAATATAAATTGCATCGAACCACTCTACATAGAATAAAATTTATTTTTACAGTGATTTAGCGTTAATCTTAGACACAAAGGCATTAAAGGTACAAATAAACGTATTCAGAAGCTTCAAATATTCGAGATACTCAAATATAAAATAATACTATTATATAACACTATACAATATAAAATAATATATTACATTTAAACCTTACAGTATGTAGAAACCCATAAATTATAAAACTAGGCACATAGGAGGGCAACCATAACAAATCAAATATGAATGTGATAAAAATTATAATAATATTTCAGTATAACTCGATATAGTTTTATAAAAATATAAAATAAAAATATAAAACTCTGCCCGGATAAGTGACTACCCTCCCCGGTTAATAGTAACGAGTGACGAGCATTTCTAAATGTAGAGTTATAATAAAAAAATTCATGAGTAACGTTAAATAATAGAAATTTTAATTTTTATATTCTTTATGAAATTCTGATAAAGATATCACAAATAAATTGCTAAAATATTCATGACAAAAATAAGTTTAAATATGATTTTAAACGCGTCCATTTTGAATTATAAACAGAAAAAATATTTATTTTATATTTTAAAATTGTAATGAAATAAAGAAAAAATTGAATAAAAAATAGATTCATTTATGACATGACATTTTAATTTCCAAAGTTTGACACAAAAATTTGAAATCATAACTGAGTATGGACAGAATGAATCCGTGTTCGGATTCAATTTCATCGGTGGAATCTCTGTAATCGATCGGTAATAATTTCATGAAGAACTAATCGAAAGTATAAATTAATTTCTATTGGGAAATGACTCGTCGGATGCTCGTAATAACCACTTTTTTCATCTGGCAGAGAAGGATCGAGGATCTCTGTCTCATTTCTCTTTGCTCGTTTTTGTTCTACGAAATCTCATAAAGATAAGATAGAATTCCCGTAATACCCGAGAGGTTAGGTTAACTTGACAACATTGAAACCGATGCTATTTTTGTGAATCCATAGTTACAAAAGAGTTTTCTGTCACAAAAGTTATTCGTCTAAATTGAACTTTTTTCTGCGAGTGGAGCAAATAATGTGTTTCAAGCAATTGCGGATATATTCGTACGTATATGAGCAAAGAAAATGGCGTCGTCGTCCATAACTTAGTGTACATATCTCAGTAACTGATACTATTTTTTAATCTATTTTCTACGATAGAATATGCAGAATTTTTGAGGATTCTAAAAGTTTTTAAAAAGATATGTATTTTAGAGAATTAATTAAAGAAAAATAAAATGTATATTTTATATGATGTAGGTAATATAGGTTAGAATAATATTGTTAAATTATAATTATTTATGCAGTTTGTAATCAAAAAGGTATTACTACGTTCATGAAAAGGGTAAATATAATTAACTAACTATAATTATTTATCAGTCAATATGCATAGGTTATGGAATTCTGATTTCTTTTTTTTTGACAAGAAAATAGAAAGTATTGAAGATATATATTTAAGTACTTCATTTTAACAAATTTCTATACATATCGCATATATCGAATACCAGTTATTCAGCACAATAAATGTTATTAAAGACTTTAATATGGATAACCGAATATAGGATTATTTATCATTTAGGAAAAGTATCTCGCAATTTTCTGCACAAGCGATTATATGATATTTTTCTCTATTTTAAATGGCTACTCCCGGTTTCTATACTGATATATTTTTATAGTATATTTCGTTCTTTTTTCATTTATACTTGAGTACTGTATGTTCCAAGATTAATGCAACTTTAATAAAAATTGTTATAACAATGTGATCTGTGTTTCAGGTATTGATTTGTACTACACAAAATTACCAATGTTAAAATAATTATTGATAATCAATTTTATATTTTTTCTTGGACCATATAAAAGTTTTTATTTAATTTTTTTATTTAGTTTGACAAGGAAAGACTATAGTACTTTTCCAGAAATGTGGAATAATTTACCAATATGAATTTAGGTTAAGTTAGGATGCTGCTGTGAAAAAATTGAAGAGGATTCTGTTAATAAAGAAAGCACTCGATAATGGACTGAGAAATTTAAAAGATTTTAAAAGAAATTTAAAATTTAAAAAGGTTCTAGAAATTGTGCAATGGTTTGAGAAGAACATAATCCATTATTCCCTTTTAAGCCCTGATGAAACAATAACAATAGTACCATGTCAGGAAATTGAAACTATATAAATAAAATTTGATACCAATATATAGGTACCAATATTATTGACTCATACCCCTGTGAACCTACAGTGTCACATAATAATACTCGGCCATACATGGTAATACATTTTGCTACACACTATAGCAAAATTAAGAAGATTAACATTTTACCATACTTGCCAAGTCTTTTACTTATCTCTTCCACTATTCAAAATTATTTTTATGAACATGAAATATATTAGTTGGTACTTCATTAGAAAAAAAAGACTATTAATGTTAGTAATGCATATCTTGATGACATTCAATTTCAAAAATACATTACTTTTATATTGTCTTAGAGAAATGGTAATTTCATAACATATTATGTATTATATAACTAGAAAATTTCTAATATCATGGAAGATTTCCTAGAAAAACGTTAAATAGCAACTTAGCATTCAAATATACGCATTCCTTGTCAAAGAAATAAAGTATTCTCAGACAGAATGCAAGTATCAACAAAGCATTAAAATCTGTAGTGAAAACTTCTGCTTTAGACGTTATAACTTGGTTACTATTGCAATCTTTTCAGAACAACCCTTTTCATATTGTGTTCAAAGGAGTATACCATTTTAAAAGAAAATTGATATTTCTTTGAGGTATATAATCCTTAATAAATATATTTCACAATTATTCAGCTAGTAAAATATAAATATAAAAATAAAGAAATGAATAACTTTGACATATTATTAAGTAATTAAAATAATTTATTTCAGCATCGATACCTTTATTTAAAGTTTTCCAATTTTGTCATCATGCTTGTCATTATGTACCATACTCGAATTATTCAGGGATGAAAACGTTAGGCGTTAGCTAAGCATCTAACAACACTTTGCTCACCCCATTAATCTACATATATTCTTCGTTGCCTATATACATGTGCATGATCATACTCACATTGTTAATCTCCGACAAATTATTAACGATTTCATGATATTTAATCAATTCTCTGAAAGATATAATATTAAAATAAATAATTGCAGTATTTTTCGAACCGTATTAACCAACTCAATAACGCATACATTTTAAGAAGAGGTAATTCGAAGCTCTCAAGGCACGTCATTAAAAGAGCATGAAAATGTTAAGGAAAGTCCGTGATAAATTAGCTGTACTCACCGTGATGAACATTATGCTGATGATCCGTAGCATCCTCAATGAGGTCGTTGCATGGAGCTGAATCATGCCTCTTACGATGATGATGATGATGGTGATGATGGTGATGGTGGTGATGATGATGATGACTCTTCCTTCGATGCTGGTGATTCAGCGAAGAGGAGGCAGTCGAAGTGGAAGTCAGTCTGAGCTTACGTGGACTGGCTGGCGCGCTACCGGAACGCTTACTCAAAGCTGAGGAAGCTTTAATCGCCTCCACCTTCGTTTCCACCAGAGCAGCGAGGACGGCTTCGAGACGTGCCACCTCCATTCCACTGCCACCATCATCCGTCGAGACTGCCTTGTCAGCGACATCGGAAGTCGACGGAGTCACCGTCATCTCTTCACCTACCGTTGTCACATTACGTTCACCACCCTCGATGGTGACCACTTTGTAATAAGAACCGTCGCGGGACCTCTCCAAAGCCCGCTGACCAAATGGTCACAAAACCGACACGCCAGAGTTCGACTCCCTCTTCCTCTTTCCTCTTTCTTCCACGGCACTATCCACTGAGAGCTCTCGAATAAATCGGGACAACATGAAGCTGATTATCTTCCTTTAATATCCTGCAGCTTCACTTCCATCCTTCGCAAATCTGACCGCGGGGCGACATATGCGCCCTCTGGATTTTTCACAAATGGTGCGCTGCTTGATTAACGTCACATCCGGTCGCTCTCGGAAGAAAGAAAACACTCTCGATGGCTGTAGGATATCGATAATGATCAATGGGGTTCAAACGGAGAAGTTATTAGACCATTAATGATAACACGACCTTTACTTGAGACTCCTCCTTTTTCCCTTCTTCTACCATTCACTCGAGTACCTTTATTAAGATGAATAACATCTAGACGAGTCTTCCGTAAATATAAATGTAATTTCTTGCTTCCTTTCAATGGGAAGATTTTTTTTTATTCATCGGGTTACCTTTATTTCCAGCATTCCTTTATGTTCGAGGGATCTAATTGTCCCAATTAGATGTAAGCAATTGTAAAGAACTTGCTTCTTATATACTCGTATTTCATATCTTGAAACGTCAACCATCGCATGGAATCTACATAAGTAACGTGTTTAATTAAAATGAATAAGTGAAATCTCACGGAATTCCAGATCACAATTATTCTTATCTTTCACTTTACGCTTTCTGGACTCACGATCGGTGTGTCTCGTGTCACTTTACATGAAATTAAAGCAGTTCGATCTACCGCCTCGAACTTAACCTCAATTTAAGGATCTTTTTATGCACGAATAAGGAATGTGCACGACGACCCCTTAATAAGCGTTTTCAACGAACTTTTATCTCGGGTTTGATCGATTAACGATCTACCAGCACGGACACATTATCTAACGACAGTTATCAGAAAGATCGTACTGTCAAACAAGTTGATCAATTCGAGTCTTAAGACGCGACTGCATTCGTGTAGAATTCGCTCGACCCCTGTCTCCATGGTAGTTCGTCTTGAAACTTTTTTACTCCTTGTCACGATCATCCGATCATGCGACGTTGCCAATATAATGCTTGTTTATACGTCCAGGTTCGCCTTCGGGCTACTCGAACAATAACGAAGATTCACGAAGACGATCGAACTGTTTTTCTACTTCGAACTGACTCGATTCGAATTAGTACCGTTGCAGTCGGTTCACGCTTGATTGGAAATAAGAGGGTTCTCGAGAATCTTATACGGATCGTGTTACATCGATTCTTTGATGGCTACGTATTGAAACATCCAACCTTCCCGACTCGACCGTTTATATAACTGCCATCGAAATTACCAGGGGATCCAGTGAGCAACGCTCGGGGCAAATCGCGTGATTCCAGACGGTTAGACAGCCGGTACGTCGACTTGTACGAATATCGAACTACGAGGGATTGACCGTGGTGACATCCTTTCGAAATAAAAGAAACGCCCCGACAAAAGTGCCGCAGCAACTTATTCTCGCATGGCCAACTTCCCTCGACCCTTCCTGGTTTCTCGCGTACCTAATGACCTCGTTCCTTTGTGAAGCGCGAAACGAAGGTTGGTCGAAACACGTAGCCATGTTAGGCAGCGTTCGCTGTGAAACACCAGCAGTTGTTTGTGTCAAGTATGTGTCGAAACTGGGGAAAAAAGTCAAGAAGCAAAGGTCGAGGGAAGCTAACCACTATGAATTATCGCTGGAAATGGACGATGAAGATTCGTTCGATAATAATATAATCCAGACTCACTCGTTACTCCTATTATTCTCACTGTACTGCATTGCTCAGGCAAGTATTTTCTTTCCTCGTTTCGTTAACTGTGAAGTAACCTTTTTCTCTCGGCTCTGCAGGATTATCGGTTGAGCCTCGACTTCTACATTAACAGAGTTCGTTAACAGAGGATCAACACGTGTTTCTTCTCTTATCCTGGAAGCTACTGATTACGATATTGAACCTCGTAGAAATTTTCCGTTCAATGGTGTTGGAAATTTGATCAGGTTGAAAATTATCTTTGTCAACTGAGACATTCTAAATTGAGGTTATATATTTTTCTTATCTGGCTGACTGCTTCTTTTGAAAATATGCAATTTCAATAGAGTGTCTTACTTATTAATCGAGATTGTTTATATTGTTACGATCGACTTGACAAAAATTCGCAACGTTCTTGACGAATGTTCTGATACAATGAGCAATCGAGGTTTCTTATCCTGTGACTATGTCAAAATTGTAAATTTCTGTACCATTTGGAACATCTTTGACGATTTTCCAGGTACGACGAACGAAAGAAGAGGACCGTTAATGGGAGATAGAAACTCGAGACACAGGTTGCCGCAAGAGTCGAGGCGTAAAGAGTGCACGGTTCCTCGACTGACCTATTAAAGCCAGTAAATAGTGATGCTTCCTCTTACGGCCGACCAATACGAAATGCTGTTTATGCCTCAAACCTCTGCGAGGTCATTATACGTCTTCTAAGAATCCATCACGTTTCTCAGTACCAGGTATACACATATATCTTTGATCCTCAAAGTCTGTTTCTCACTTCCTCCTCCAATATTCCATCTGACTAACTCGTTTAACCACCATAACCTGATAGACGTCTTGACGTATGCCGCAAACCGAATCTCGAATGAAGAAATCGCGTGGAAAGCCACGGAACGAAGTTACGAGGAGGATGGAGTCACGAAGACGTGCAAAATCTGCAGTATTGTCCGTAAGATTACGCAGGGATTGCGTCCTTTAGGGATACTCGTGGGATACCAGCACGGTGACTCCCGGCGAATCCATAGCTCAGGCAACGGTGGCGTTACGAACACGGACGTAGAACGCCGAGCGTGCTTCCTCGCGGTCAGGCATCGCGGCAGGTCGAACTTCGGTAGGCGGCATGCACCGTGTGGACAAGTAAGGATTAAAGCACGGACACGACACTGACACGGGCACGTCACGTCACCTCGAGCACGTTGCTACTACGTTAGTTCGGACGTAGCTTCGTAGTACGATGCGTGTCGACGCGATGGCGCGATCTACGCACATCCCCGGCCGAGGGAATTGCGTGCGCGAGTGTTAGCGATCGCTCGAATACTGGGAAGCGTCGTGGAGCAGACAGGGTTGGTAGGCAGGTGGCCGGTCTGGCAGGGATGCGTTCAGCCCTACCCCTTCCTATACCCACGCCGCCACTTCCACCGCTAGCTACTCCCCTTTCACCGATCCCCTTCTCGACGGCCCTGCCTCCGGCTACCTCCCTTTTTGCCCATAGTGCGGTCACCTTTGGCTATGTGTCTGTGTAATCGCGGCGATATCATGTTATGCGATCGTTCCTCGTGCCTTGCTTTCTTATCCTTTGCTTCGGATCCTTTATACTGTCCATATCCTTCAATTAACTCTGGAGCATAAATACGTGATTTCTTTGTTAGTGTAATAGGATGCTTTGGGATTGATAATTTATAGGTTAGTAATGAATGGAAAAATAATTGTTCAAATCTATCTTACTTTTTTGTGGATTTCGTTTGGAGATTTGTTGATGGATGATGTATGTATAGGAAATATTGCGAGTATATGTAAAAGTAGTATAGTCCTTTCATTTTGTGTAAGAAAGAATACGATTCTTCTTGTGAGTAATACCGAGGAGGCGTTTGGGTTATAGCGCGTGAAGATAAATGAAAGATAGTTTATTTGTAGACAGATGATTCATCTTCATAGCTTGCTTGTATTCAGACGTTTCCACCCGAATTTAAACATCTCTGAAAAATCAAAACTATTAGAAATTTTTACTACCCACCAGAGTTTAAGAAGATAAATAGATTCAATTATAAGATATGTAGGGAACATTTCATGGATAGTTTAGATCTATTTGAATTAACTGAGAATTTTGCGGTAATAATTGTGCAAAATGTTAAGTTTGGCTCAGATTAGGTTAAGTACCATGGATAGTTTAGACTTGGATGAATTAACTAAGAATTTTGTTATTCAAGATAGAAAGGGCACACATTTTTTAATTAGTAATTAAATTTATGAAGGTAATAACATTTGTTGCTTCTTTAAAAAATTAATTTATTATTAAATTTTTATTTCATGTCGATTATATATTTTTAAGGCAGATTCGATTTATCAAAAATTGAAGAAACGTATATGCAGTATAAACCTTGTGTCTAACCACATCACGAAACTCATGTGTTATGAATAATAAAAGGAATTTGAAAGATACAATGTTATGGTCCTATTGGAACAAATTTTGTTTCAAGAGTTCGCACTGGAGTGAAACACTTACAAATGGTTGTAATACCTTAGTAATATTCAAGATGTTCAAGATATCTCGAAGTGTAATACCGATATGAATTAATGATATAATTATATGACTTCATAAATAAGGGAATATTATAATTGTAGTAAAGAAAAAGTAATTATATAATCAAGAATATTTTATTACATTTTATGCAGTAAGTATGATCAACTGTGATAGCGATAGGAATATATAAAAATTATGAAACGTTCCACTTTTTGCAATTTTAAAATGTTCACGAGAATCCTAAACATTTTACTCTTTTTTTTTAATTAAAAAATTCTTGCTGTAATTTTCAATTAAAATTTTATGCTTCTACTTTTTGTTTTAATTACTCTGCTCGTGCATGAGCATCGATATGAAAATACATTTTTCAATAATTAAATGTAAATGCACTCCGTACACGACGAATATCGTTTAATTAATGTTTAAAAGGCAACTTTTATTCTGTTATGTATTTTTAATTCTTTTTTAACTGAACGAACTTTTTATAATAGTGACTTAGATTTTATAATAGTGACTTTAAACTATATTTAATTTTAAAAATTTTTCTTAATATATCATGTATTATAAGGAACAACTAATGTACAAATATTTTTCTTGGAATTA